AGCTTCCTAGCTTTTGTGGTTCCCGAGTTGAAAGTTGCGGACAAATTGCTGCGGACACACACACACGCAAACACACAGACAACCCCGTAACAATATGCGTTTATAAAAATCAAAGATTCTTGGGCATTTCGCATTCTGTTTGATGCGGAGATTACTTGAAATTGGCCTGGCAGGCAAAAGCAAGAACAGGGAGCGCTTTGACGCCATGCTGTGATTTTTTTCCCCAACGTAGCTCTGTCAGTTTAGTGCAGAAGTTGAATTCTACAGCATTTTTAAACTGAAAGAGTCTGTTTTTGCTCTCTCATATCTTCACTTCATTTCCAATAATTCATAGCAACAGCACTACAACGTCATGCTGACGAAGTGTGGTTGTGGTGCTGAACAGGAATGTATACGACTCAGCGGATCCAAGCATTCCTCCTCATCTGTGTTGTTATGAATTCCTTATTTAGTGAACCCTTGTTATTACTTTTATTCACACTTTGCCCTCTTTTTTTGCTTCCCTCTACTGCGACTCCAAAAAAGGCATGCTTTATTATGCAGAGCTACCCGACTTTACAAGTTTTTGTTAGCAGTGTTGGTGTTATTTACAGATTGCTTTGGCACCGGTATTGGATCGCAACGTGAAAACAAATGGCACGAAACGTGCTCGTCTATTACGCTGGGAATGGTGTGATGCTGTGCAATCGTCGAGGAATACGTGGGGTGAAGCGTCTTTCTGGGAGACCTATAAGGTTGTGCATGTTTGCAACTGTTCACAGCTATTTTTCTCTTAAAATCAACTTTTATTTTCAGTAATCTTTGAAACGATTAGCTTTTTTGCATCTCAATAAGCAGTGCCGGTAATTCAGATGATGCGTTCGGTTTGGCGCATTCAAACAAGTGCTTGTGCAAGTGAGTTTTTACTTCAGTAATTTGATCAGTTGCAGTTCATGCCGTGATTCTCCAGATATTCAGCTGCTGACAACGAATCCCGTTGCTTTGACCAGTGCTGCGTCTTCCAGTGGTTAGAGGTTTTGACTCAACGATCTTCCCAG